AGGGGTTTATAATTTTTGTCTAGATAGATATATCAAACTATAGCTTTCTTTTTTTTAGTCTTTATTAAGATAAAACATTGATTCCCTTATGCTTTAGTATTGAGCGTGTGAGGACTTTTTATTGCTGCCTTTATACAAGTGTGCATATGAACAAATGCTGGTTTTCAATGTCCAAATGACCTGTTGCAAATTTCAGTTTGAAGCAGTATTTGCGGCACTACCCTTGATATGTGGATAGTACTGCAAATTTTCTGCAGCGTTTTGTGTGAGAGTTTGTAATCCAGAAAAAATGCGCCCTTAGGCATGAAGATACACTGTCACTGTACTGACCAGACATGAGAAGAATAGGAGAAATAACTTCAGAGCAAAGCATTATATTATTAGTATTTGATTATGAGGTATTAGAGATCAGACGTCTAATTAGCAGGCTGTTAAGCATCAAAATTTCACATTGCATTCCAAAGTGCCCCAGATTTTCTAGTTTTCTGTTTCTCAGTGTCAAACCTTTAGAAAAAATATTTTTGTGTCATTTTTAATGAGAAGTTATTTCATTATTTTAACCAACATTTTTGTCTTAAACTGTATTGAGAGAAAAATTTAAAAGGCACGTGATAGATAAAGGATGATATGCCTTCATGCTCATGCCTTCTGTTGCTCTATTTATTATTTAATAACAATTCATTAGGTCTGTTACTTTTTATGGAGTGCAAAAGTTAAATGACTCTTGTCCATGTAGTTGCTTTCTCCTTTAAAATATGTGACAAAAAAAACAATTTAGGTGTGCAAAGAGTAACTTGCAGAATTTCTTTGTTTTCACCTTCAAGGAGAGAGGTTTGGAAAGAGCAGGGAGAATGGCCCTTCAGGGTACGAGGGCTTGCAGAGAAGTCAACCTTCCACCTGTCCGGGAGGAGCAGGGCAAGCTGCTCCACGAGAGAAGGCAAGCTGGGAGCTGGGGAGGACAGCAAGGCAGGCAGGGCGTTCTCCTTGTGAGCAAGGGGTGCAGTCCCACAGTAGCCAAACAGGAAGATGAGAGCAGGTTCGGTGGCAGTCACCAGGAGCAGCCGGCAGCCCAGTGGTCTGTAGCCACGAGGCACGCTTTAGGTCGAGCCAGGAAGTCAAGTCAGCGAGTCAAGGTCAAGACCAGTCAGGTAGTAGATGTAGCTCAGGCAAGGCTCAAGGGCAAAGGCCTGAGCTTGAAGGCAGTTCTTGAACTGCATGAGAGCAGACTCCAGTGAGGCTTCTTGCAGCTCTTACCAGAGCAGTCTGATCCCAGGTTACTCAACTATGCTGCACCAGAGCAGGCCTTGAGCACAGGCAGTGAAACCCCTGGCCAGGGATGGTGGGGAGAGGCGGTAGAGCCTGCTGGCGTACTCCGGGGCCTGACATAACCAACCAAACGGGGAATGTGGGCACACCACATCCTCAGTGTGGATGAAGGTAGTTGATGCTGCTGCCATTTTGTCACCTCCTGGTTGGGTGGAGAAGGACCACATCCTGCGGTGGCAACCATCTCCTGCGGTAGGTGGTGAATAGGTAGGCTGTGTCATGTATAGCCCAACAGCCTAGCGTCGAAGCTATGCTGGCAACATTCAGTGCTGGACCCACTGTTGGACCATGGTGGTTATCTTCCAAGTCAAGTCATGGAAGTGCATGGTGAACATAAACTAGAAAAAATTCGGAGCAAATTCAGTCTCTTGAATGGAAGATAAGATGACATACCTATATGTACTTGTAGTAAATTATTTTTGTTTGAGGAAAAAGCCAGAAATAATCCATCATTGTTGGAATATAACTTAATCCACACTGAAAGCAGTTTTTAATTTTAGCTGTGCATGGAAAGGACACGTGTGGAATAGTGGAATGAATTTTTAAGGTTCTCTTCTGTCAGTGTAACGTTCTGGTTTGGGCTCATTCCTTTTAAATTCAAGTAGTTTCTCCTGGAAACAGACACTCTGTAACACTGACAGGTTTTGATGTTTCTGATATAAAGAATAATTCTTCTGCCCCAGGAAAATCTAGCCCCAAATTGAGAATAGGGTGTTCACAGTGCTTTATTCTTAGATCTGTGTGCTTCTATTTTAGAAAAAGTAACTCCTAAAGTGCTTTACATGCTAACCTTTTATTTTTTATCTGAGAAGTACAGGCACATGCGATTTTTGTGGCTCTTTGCCAAAAGATTATCATTTACATAAATATTTCTTTCAAAGGCGTAGTTTAAGACATTGAGCTCAGGAGGTTAGAATAGAGACTTCAATCTGCACACCAGCAGTGGGCTATTGGCTTCTGAACAGTAGCTTTGTTCATCGTATTCAGAACACTGTTCGCATTCAGAGTTAAGTAGAGCTGGCATTAAAATTCAGCTAATTTGTTTCATGTGATTCATCAGCTGTGTGTTTTATTTAAATCTATGTCACATTCTCTTTTGGCTTTTTATTTTGTAGATTTAAGTGTTGAAGTAGGCCACTGTTTAACTCTTCAGTCCCTGACTTAAAAAGTGACTTAATATTCATTTTGCCAGTGTTGTAGGATACTCACAGTAAATATATATAACTAAAGTATGCGTTAGTGGTTTTGGTTTTTTTACATTTCTGATGTTTGACTAAAAATATACACATTTACAGTTAGTTTAGTCGTAGTTTTATATAAGGCAAAATAGAAGAACCTAAGTAGTAGCTAAATATTAGTGTAAAATACACACTTGGATTCTGTTGAGTATACAAGTTTTACTTTGATACTGCCAATGTTCTTATTTTTTTTTCTTTTGACCTCTCACTCCTTGAGGTGAGGACCACTTTTAGCTCCTATTAGGTTTCTTTAAACACTGTTGGAGAATGAACTGTTTCCATTTTTTGAAACTGTAACTTACTTCCGGGTGTGAAATTTCTCTTCTTACAGAAGCACCACCTTTTATTCTCTTAAGGCTGGAGCCTGTGGAGCCTTACATGCATTGAACTTCCCTAAAGTGGATAATCCCACTGCCCTCCAGACGACTGCTCGTAATGATTTACAGGATCAGACCCTTTGCTAGAATAGGCTACACTTGCTTTTATGCTTTATATTTGTTACATTTTCCTATGCTGTAGAAGTAACATCTCACTGTGAATAGTTATTCGTAGATACTGACTGCCTTATGACAGCATGGTATGGCAGTATCTTCCATCTGTTAGGTACATGGTCCATTCAGATGTTTTCTGGCAAAATTCATAGGAATTTATTAATTCTACTTTTAGTATAGGGCAAGACTGTCCTAAAAGATCAGATTGAAAGATTAACACACAGTTAAAATAAATTTTTAATGTAAAAGACTTGCACTTATTTCAAGCATCTAGCATTGATCCTCAATTCTTTTATTCCTCTTAACATTAAATGCTAAATATTCTGTGTAAATCTGCTGCTGTTGTCTCTGGAATAATCCCATGGTACAGAAAATTCTGCTTTGTATGGAGGATCTAAAAATAAAAGAAGATCATTGCTTTTAAAAAGCTAACAGATTGTGAAATAAGTTAAGATTGTTCAGCTCATGATAGATTTAGTTCATTAGCTGTATTAAAAATACAATTCAGTTACAACCAGATTTTTTTTTAGAGTGTTATGTTCTTTTCTCTTCATAGAAACATGAGTGTGTATTTATTTAATGTAAGAGATTCTTGGTTGCATTTTGATAGGTTACTGAGTGTACATGATTGCTCCCTCTTCCCTTTCCATCCCTGCCTCAGTGCACTCCTTTCCCCCACAACACCACTGGCAGTTGCCTTAGCCTCTTTAATTGTCCAGCAATCAGAGAAGACTATTACGCTTTCTTTGTGATACGCTAACTTCTTTTTAGGAAGTTACAGCAGCTCACAGAGCAGTCAATATGTCTATGCTAAGTCATCGCTTTTCATGGAACTGCGAACATAATATGTCTTTGGAAAAAGCCATTAACTAGTCAGGTGCCTCATTCAGTTTTATATTTATATAAAGTTGGGTTTTTTTTTTTCCCCTCATAACTTTTTTCTATTTTTCCTTTAAATACAGCGTGGTTACTTCACTGGTATCCATATAGAGTGCTGCCACTTTATAGTCATTACTATAGCCATGTCAGCCATTCTCAGTGCATTCTTTTACTGTTTCCATTTTTATTATACTGGCTGTGGGAAACATTTTTTCATTTCAGTAATCTTTAATTTATATAATAATTTCTCATTTGGTATCAGATGAGATACCAGTCATGGTACTATAAGATGAGATGTCAAATAAGATAGGTCCATCTGACCCATCATGTCAGCCTCCATCACTTGCCTGCATTTGGTAGGAGCTTTTCATAAACTTCCACAAGGCTAACATTTAATCCTTCTCCTTGTTCCTTCCTTCCTAAAACTGTCCTTTATACCAGTGCTTATAAAAAATCCCCACCATTGCTTGACAATAGTCATAATGCATCAAGAGTCCCTTATATTGATCATGTCTCATTGTTTTGTTGTTATCTTCTGTTTGTGGCTTCTTGTTTTACAAGGTGAATTACTTGAAAGCAGGCAGTTGTTTTTCCACTTTTTACCATGAAATCATGCACAGTTGGGTTTTGATCAATGTCTAAGATGCCTGAGTGTTCCTGTTACAAGAAATGTTAGTTTAAAAATGAGATTTTTAACCACAGAATTTCTGGTTGGGGTATCGGAATTTGAATGGATGTTTGAGGTTAATGTTGACAAATGTTAACTTCCCCTTACTTTGGATTTGATGCTACTGATCTATAAATTCCTGATCTGATTTTAGTCTTCTGTATGGCTTCTTTAAGATTTCTCTGAAGCATACAATTAAATCAGATTACTTAGCAGTTTGAGATTTTTTGCATATTAGAAAATGTTAAATTGTTCTTTCTGCAGACACTGCAGCTCTTTATGGGTTCTCTTCATTTTCCAGAGAACAGGGAGAACGGATGCAAGTGTACCAGTATTTCACCCTAGAATATAACTGTGCAAATGGAAGTCATACTGTAATAAACATTTTTTTCCCCCCAGAATTTCAAAGAATATTCCTACAACTAAAGATGTTGAACCTCTACTTGAAATTGATGGAGATATACGGAACTTCGAAGTATTTTTATCTTCACGAACACCTGTTCTTGTTGCACGTGATGTAAGAACCTTTTTGCCATGTACTGTAAACTTAGATCCCAAGCTACGAGAAATTATTGCAGGTGAGTATGCTTTCAAATAAATGGAAAATGACAACTGTATTATTTCTTTTCATTTTAGGTAGGGCTACTTTGCATGTTATGGAGAATCCTGGTTTGTTCATAAAATCAGACCTTCAGATTGTCTGATTTGACTTCAGTAACAGGCCATTCAGTTTCACTTACTAGCTTTGCTGCAAAGGCCAGATCATACTAGAATAAAGCATCTCTTTCGGAGGGGGGAATCCACTGTTCTTGCTTTGAAGACTGCTTTAGCAGATGTTGGAAACCAATACACACAATGATATTTTAGTAGTAGAGATGCAAGTTGACTTTGTTAACAATTTTGAACAGTGTCAGTAAGATCCTGTAGAACTGCAGCCAGTGAAACAAAGTGGAATGTCTCCATTTGATGTATACCTCACTAGATACCTGTGCAGTTGGTACCTATGAGTTACTTTTTAGTCTGCTATAGTAGGATATTTAAATTCATCCTAGGGCAAGTGTTGTTTATTGTGCAGTGGTTGTTAAGCAGTTATCTTTACTTCCTTGTAGTCTCAAAAAATGCAGTCAGGTTCAGGTATGTTCTGTTCTGCAAAAACACTCCACTCAGCATTAAATGTTCTGACTGCTCACTGCTGCTGTGGATTGATGTGACGCATGGTAGGGCACTTCTTGTCCACTCTTAGGGATTGCTACTTGCTCTGGAGTAAGGCTAAAGCATCCTGACATTTCTACCTGTTAAAGACATGCTAAAGCTTCAATGAAAACCAGAACTTTAAATTTAAAATAGGATCCTTATGAGTCTTTGGTATAACAGTCAGTATTCTAGGTGGGAATTGAATTCAGGTATTAATAGTTCTCTTTGCTTGTCTCTCTTCTGTCATGACACTTTTCTCACTTTTCTTTCAGTTGTCAGCTGGCTTTTTTTTTTTTTTTTTTTTTTTTTTTTTTTTCCAATTTCTTTTTTTCTTTTTTTTTTTTTTTTTTTTTACTTTTTTCCAACTTCCTTCTCTGCACTTGGTGGCTGTAGTGGGATGGCCTAACTTCGTTCACAAGCTCTGTCTCATTAATCTCTTCAGAAACAGTACAGGTCTGACTATCACATCAGACATACTTAACATCAGAGACATGCTTGGCATGATGTATTCCTGCATTTCTTCCCATTTGAGTTGGGATTTGTAACTTGTTCTCTCTGAGAGAGAATGTTTAGAGGCATTTAGTATGCTATGTAAATTTATGCAATAAATTGTCCTAACTCTCCTAAAGACTCCTGTGTATATGTGATCCTCAAGAGAAATCAACCAAATGCAGCTGAAAGTGACGCTTGATGTTCTACTTGATGAGTTCTGATTGGAGTTAAATACACAAAAATGTACTGTAATGAATTGGCAAACAAATCAAAACATTTTCAAATATTTCAAGCAAAATCTCATTCTTTTTTACCTTTTTATTTTTCAGATGTTCGTGCTGCAAGAGATCAAATGAATATTGGAGGACTTCCTTATCCCACATTGCCTTTACATGAGGCACCTGCTAGAGCAACATCTCTGTTCAGTCAGCCTTCATCAGCTTGCTCTTCTACAGCCTCTTTCAACGGACCTTTCAATAGCGGAGTTTTATCACCGCAACCTCATAGCAGTTACTATAGTGGTATGACAGGACCTCAGCATCCGTTTTACAATCGGGTAAATAATCGAGAGCCAATTCACATTATTCTGATTTAATCTGGTAATATTGCAGATGTCATCTATACAATATTAAAAGTCCCATGCAGGTTTTATTTAGGGATGGTGAAAAGTCCTAAAGTTGGTAAATTCCACAGTAATGTTCAGTCACTGTGGTCTGGGGGAGAAATGTGCTAAATTGCATCAGAAAAACAAATTACACAAGGGGAAAAAATGTTCAAATCATTTTGAGACACTGCTCAATCGTAGGATATTGGAAGGTTTTTTTTATTTTTGTGGGGTAAACTGTGCTCAATGATTCACATACTTGCTCACAGACATCGGAAGGGATCCTGGCTTTTTCGTGGTGACTTTGGTTAAAACATACAGAAACACAATTGGGGAGCCATAGCACAAGAGTGTATGTCTGTCTTCCCTTTTGTCTCTTTTTAAAGTTATTCCGGGATGTTACACTAGTTTAAAGGAATTAACATAAACTGCATAAAACATACATTTTTGAGCTATTTGTGGGCCTCAGAAAACATAGTCCTGGGCATGGCTCACTTGAAAATTGAATCAAGTACTTTATAGTTGGATCAAGTCTAAACTTACTATTTTTGTGGGATGTATTCAGTATTTTAAGCTTTATTTTTTACTTTTTTTTCTGCAGTACTACTATTGGGGGAAAAAAAGTAGAAAGCTGATCTAAGTAATAGCTTACTTCTATATATAGGAAATGGCCTCAAATTTAAGTAGATTTGACCGTAGGTGAATGTTTAAGCTCATAAACTGGAAATGAGTTATTCCTAAATTGGTGTTTGTTAACCAAGGCAGAAAAGAGTACATGTAGCACAGAATTTTTTAAGTTATCTGTTCTAAAATTGTTCTTATATCCCCTCAATACAGTGACAATATACTGTTTTGTTGAAAATAACTTAAAATGACATATATATTGAAGTCGTCCAACACTGATAAATGCTTGTCACCTGAATCTTTGTGCTGATACTAGCGCAGCTTTGTTAAAGTGGGTGTTTAATTGGAAGCCCTGTTTTTGTGTCTGTGTTACTGTACATGACAAGGTTTAAAGTATGGAGTGACACACAGTTGAAAGTTGTGTGGTTTTTAGCTCTAATAAGCATTACAAAAGCAATTATTGGTGAGTCATAAGGTGTTCTTACAATCAGTTTATTTGTTCATTTGCATTAAGTGCATACACAGTCTTACAGGCATGCTTACTTTTTTGCCTGCTGAAGACTAAAATACTTCTGTTTTGGCCTTTCTTTCTGGAATTTTATACTGCCCTTCTAAGGTATAATTGTTTTTAGCATTTCACACTTTCAAGTATTGACAAAGAGCTATGTTCATTACTTTAGAGTAAGGTACTGTCATGAGCACCACATACTGAGATAAGTGATGAGAACCTTATACTAGTAGAAAATTTAGACTGAGAGCCTGTTGCCTTCAGCATTTTCAATCATATTTCACTTCTCAGGTTTTCCTAAGAATGGTATTTAAAAAAAGAACAGCAACTGAAGAATAGGCTCTCCCCAGTAGAAGCTGCTGAGAGAGGTCTTGGATACCTGTATGGCACAACACAGTGTGGGTTCAAATACTTCTGTGAAAATACCTGAATTTCATGCAAAAACCCCCTAAATTCTGGGGATAGATGCCTTATTCTGATCAACAAATGGTTCCTGTTGTGTTGTCTTTAAGCATTCATTTGTGCTTAAGAAAAAAGCCTTTGAGCTGCTGGGGGAAAAAAACTCTTGTTTATTTTTAGGTTATACAATTTTTTTATTATGTTTCTGCTTTGTTCTTTAGATGCTCCTGTGTTATGGACCTTGAACTTCCAGTGACATAATCGATTCATTTTTGGTTTTAAAACCCTATTCTCCCTCTATATAGCTGTAAAGGAAAGAATATAGTCCCGTGTAGTAGCTCTTTGACTTGGAGCTTTGGCTCTCAGTATAGGACTATGCTGGACATGTACATTTTATTACTGTCTAATGGCCTGGCTTTGTTGGATTCATGTTCAGCTTCTCAAAATCACTGCCATAATGGATCATTGCGGATATCATGTTCCTTATAGAACCACAGAATCGTTTAGGTTGGAAAAGACCTTGAAGATCATCCAGTCCAACCATTAACCTAACACTACCAAGTCCACCACTAAACCAATTAAGGGTAGAGTAGTAATTTCATGTTTCCTGGCTTGCTGGCTGGATTATTTTTTAATGAAAGTAAAAACTAGGAATCATGAAGGTTGGAATGGGGACGGTCAAAGCAGTAGGCAAGTCTAATTGGGATTTCCTGGGTGGGAACTAGAAATTATGGTATGTAAAGACTTTTTCTTTTCTTTTCTTTTCTTTTCTTTTTTTTTTTTTTTTTTGGGCAAAAGAGGAGCAGATTCTTTTGATCTTGGAAAAATCATAACCACCATACTTACACTTTATAGGCTATCTGCAAACTTGGAGAACAGCTCTACACTATTTTATGCCCAACATGTTTTTACGTTGATCTCATGTTTTCATGATACCTGCTTTCAAATGAAGATTGAGTCTGTAGAGTTCAAGCCTATAATGGAGAATTAATCCCACGGCTGGGAAGCAGTGGAGTAGCTGAAGTGGGCTCAAGGCATAATTAGAAATTATGAAAGAATTGTGGGATAATTGCCTTATTGGACAAATTTTTTTCATTGCTTTGTAGTTTGATGACTTGCAACCAACAAACAGGTGCTCACTCTGTGTTTCAGAGGATAGTCGTTGCAGTGAGAGCTAGGCACTTGAATGCAGTATGATCATTAAGCATTTTATGCTTGGGGGTTTTCCACGTGGTTTAAGCTGTTAGTGGAAAGCTGAGCCATTTAATTATTATAGAAACGATATGAACTTTTTTTGGAGAGAGTTTCATTTCCAGATAATACCATAGAATCTGTGCCTTATGACAGTGAAATAGTTTTAAATCAATGAATTTTCTGATTCTTCCAAACTAACCAATAAATGTAAGGCAAAGGCTAGGTATTGGTTCTCCTACCTATTTAAAACAAAACAAAACAAACTTCCACATCTAGACTAATGGTTACAATGCATATCATGTCACTTCATATGTTGCAAAAGCATATGAACTTTTTGCGGTAATCGTGTGAAATAGTGTGCAAAGACTACCTCCAGCAGCGAAGATTATGGAACCATTTGTATTTTCCAGAAATTACTGAAAGTTGTAGCGTATGCCATCTAAGTAGTTGACGTACGCAGGAATTAACCTTTAATATCTCAGCTCATTTACAGCTGCTTCTGAATGCAGTTTTTTTAGTCCTTATAGACAAATCCAAGGTGGAATACTTCAACAGATTTTACTCTTCCCTCATATATTGGCCATCGAATCATAAAATTATTTACTCTATGCTGAATTTGGTACACTAGACTTCTCAGAATCTTGTCATGTGCAGAAACACAAACCAAATAGTGTGTTCTGTTTTGTTAAATAGCTGGGTAATACAATTTTTTAAATACTGTGTATAGAAGCATCAGAAATCTGTAATACAGCCATTATTTTGAGATTTCTGGTTTGTTTTTTTTTTTTTTTTTTTTAAGAACTGGATAATGAATTGAAAGCAATGAGCACTAATTCTGCTTTCCTAAAATCTAAAGGCTCTATTGCTTTCCATTACATTGCCTTAAAAGAGAATTGATAAGGAGATGAAAATCTCTATTTCAAAATCTAACTCAGATTCACAGATATGTCAGAACAGAATTCCACAATATTAGAGAAGCAGTTTGTACCTCCTAACTGCATTGCCAGTTGTAAGGTTCATAACTCTTAAGTGTGTGCTTGGGCATACACAACACACACAGGTTTTGTTGCATGCCAGTGGGTAGCATGTGAATTTCAGGGAAAAAGTTTTTACAGTTTATTTTAAAACTTGAAAGATTGGAGCATATGGGATCCTCTGTTGGAAGTATATATGTAATTTTAAGATCTCTTTATCTTCTAGAAGTGACTTTATTAAAAGCCTGAGTTCTCATGTGGACCCTTTACACTGTGCTGATGAGATTTTTGGAAACTGGATAGTGTTTATTTTCTTGAAATTTGTTAGTAAAAAGGGATAAAAAGGAACCCAGTTACAAAAACCGTGATAAGAGTTAACTGATACTTGTGGAGGGGAAAAAGAAGTATTTCTCTTTTTAAAAAATGTTTCTGATATTTGTTTTATGATAATTAACATTGTCTTTTAAAATGGTATTTGTATTGAACAACATGCATTGACGTATTTTGACCAAAACAAAGCTCAAATATTGTCTGCTATAAAAATCTATTTATACATTATTAAAATATAGTATTTGTGGAAGCCTTCAGATTGGTTGCCACAAATACAGGAAGTTCTAGTGATGCTATTATGCATCACATTTTTTTTCTTTTGGTACAGTTGTCTTCAGTATTATGAAACATTGGAAGTTTTACTGAGCATCTAATTTTGGGTTTAGCAGGTCTGAGAGAGTGAAATTATCAGAATTAGCCTTAAATGATCCTATTCCCATACACAGAACAGATGTTAGAGTGTAGCTACCAAAATCACTCCAAATCTGTTCCTCTGGAATACCATGCCAGAGTACCTATTGGCGCTGAGGGATTTTGAAGAACTCCAGAGCTTTTGACTGAATTCTGTTCAATGCAAAAAGTAAAGAAAGCTAGTAGTAATTGCTATTTTTCACTTTATTAAACTCAACTAGAGGATGTGTTTTGCTGAAATAAGTTTTATTTTATTATTACATTTTGATTTGTGTAATTGTTTGTCCCTTTTTTGTTACATTTTTTTTTTTCCATAGCCATTCTTTGCCCCATATCTTTACATGCCAAGGTATTACCCTGGCAGTTCTCATCTCATCTCACGTCCACCACTAAAAACGAGTTTGTCCAGAGATCAGAACAATGGCCTAGTAAGTATTTTGAAGGATAATTCAAATACTAACCTAGACAATAAATATAGTGAGTAATGAAAATGAAGGTTATTAATGATGATTCACTGTTAGACAGGTACAAGCTCTATATTACAAATAGTTTAAGCAAAGTTGTTATTAACATGTAATGTAAAATGTATTTTGTTTTAACTTCAGAAATTACTCAGAGAGGAAAACCAATTCTAACATCCAGGTATCCAGATTAGAGGAGTATAACCTGTAATATTGGCAGGAAAATATTTTAATGAAAATGCCAGCTGTACTACAGTAAAGAAATTGATGTAGTGTAATATTGTAAGAAAAAGAGCACTACGTCTAAATTTATATTCAAATTTTATAAGATAAAATTATATCCTTTAATGTTGTAGAGAATACTGGAAATTGGAAGGTCAAACTAAAAAGTTAAAAGGGATGTTTTAAATATTTAAGTAAAACAAAATACATTTTATCTTAAGTATGCATTAGTTGTACCTTGGTTTTGTAAGTACATATAATTCAACTTTACCCATTGAAAAGGAAAAACGAGCAGACTTTTCTAGCTTCCTGTAGAACAATAAAATTCCTATTTAACAGTATTTATTTTACTGACAGATGGCGGTTCAAACGGAATTAAGAACTAAGGAAAGCTAAAAAGTAAAAGCCTCACTTGTCAATCAGTTTATTTCTAGGATATTGATACAATGAGCAAAGCTATTAAAAGGTGGTAAAATCTTTAATCACTTAAGGAAGACAAATGTATTTCTGTTGAATTATGTATTACTACGAGATCATTCTCATTCACTGTTTATTTCATATTTTTTGTTGAGCCCTTGATCATTTTACCCAAACCATAATATTTTGTTGTTGTTAGGATGTTATCAAGGAGGATGCTGATGAGGGGCTTCCTTCACCCACAGACCCCTCAATGGTAAATGAGTAGTCATGTGGTGTGGAAATTTTAGCATCTCATTGCTTTTTCAGCAGTAATGAGTCTGCATTAATCATAACTGCAGTTCACTAACACTGCATCAGCGGCTTTGGTGGGCAAATAGAGTAGTTGAAAACTAATGTAGTTCGTGAATGAATTTAAGAGCTAATATTTCACTTATAAAATGTATTATATTTTTCCCCTGTAGTTTTCCCCTTGCCTTTCTCAGTAGCTATGGTGAGCTTTCAGTAAAAAGTGTTGTGATAGCTAAACAGAGTGAAGAATGACAGCTGGTCATTCGGTACTTAGATTTTAGAATGAAGTTAACTGTGTTTTTTCCACTTTAGTCAGCGCTCTCACCTGATCCATACTACTTTAGTTGGTGACATAAAGCTATTGCCGTTAACATGGTATAAAGCAACTTTTGCTAGAAATTTTAAAAAAGAAATTGCTGGTCATAAGCTTATTCTTGAGTCAGAATGCTCATGACTTGCTGTTTTCCATGACTTGCTGTTGTTTTAGCCTAAGTATTCATGCAAAGATGTCTTCTTTATGGGTATCTGTTTTAACTCTGTGGGAATCAATAGAAAATCAGGATCTATCACCAAAGCAAAGAGGTTAATATGATTGTTGTCATTCTCTTAATACTTGCTGCCAATAGTTGTTGGCAACAGTAATAGTTTGGTCTTGGTTATTTTTTCTTCTAGTGAATCATTGCAAAAACGTCTTTCCATTGTTGGGCAGTGAAAAAAAGCCCACACAAATTCCGGAACTGTATTTAACTGCACATAACCTTCACTGAGCACCCATGTTTGGGTGATGCAATGGAAAGTGTACCTTAAAGTTCTCTCTTCCAGGTCATTAACTACCTTGTGTGAAGGGATAACTTTGGAGTAAGTTTTTCTGGTAGTGTATTTGTGGAGATGCTGATGCCTTCCCTGTGTTTCATTTCTTATCTCAGTATCCCATTCTCTTCCCAGTCCTTTGCAGCTTGTCAGTGCAAGGAGGAAAAGTAAGGACTTTCTCAAAAGTGGTAGAGTGATGGCTGAAGTATGTGTGTATCTGTGAGTGTGAGAAGGGACACAGGGGCTGGAAAAGCAGGGTCTAGTCTCAGGGCAAAGTAGTGAATGAGCTCCAGCAGCAGACCTGGACCTGGTTGCTCTTTTGCTTGCTGCCCTGAGTGTGTACCTTAAGCACACATAGGCTGCAGTTTCAAGCAGCAATTTAAAAGACTCATGTAAGTTATATAGTCTATTGGCTGTAGGTAAGAAAACGCGGGAGTTAGAACATTAAAAGGAAACTGTTTGAAATAAAGATAATGGAGGATTTTAGTAGATCTGTTTTTGAGGTTAATTTATACTACTGTGAATCTGTGTAGTACAGCACATCAGAACATGCACTTTTCTAAGACTTAGCAATATTTAACTTACAGTGTAAATCTAAAATTTTGGATTTTTTAAAATCTCTTGGGTAGTTTGTAAGAATGTTGTTAGTCAGGGTATGGTGTTAGAGGAGAATGGAACAGAATAGACTATTTCAGTTGGAAGGGACCTACAACGATCATCTAGTCCAACTGCCTGACCACTTCAGGGCTGACCGAAAGTTAAAGCACGTTGTTAAAGGCATTGTTCAAATGCCTCTTAAACACTGACAGGCTTGGGGCATTGACCACCTCTCTAGGGAGCCTATTCCAGTGTTCGACCATCCTCTTGCTAAAGAAGAACGTGTGCCTGACAGGATACCTCATCAGGGTTTCATCGATTCCAAAAACACTTCTTCTGTAGACTTTATTGAAATTTCTTTGAAAGGAGACAGTATTATACTTGTTTCAGGTACTGCAGTTACCCAGAGGTGATGGGTACAATAATTTCATCCAGCTATTTAGGTAGCTCTTAATTGATGGGTCATTGCCACTATATAAATGATACAGCTTTTACTTATTAAATGGATTGGTGCATGCGAAGTAATGAAATAAACTGAAAAACTGTACAAAGTAGTTAATGAATACCAAGATGTATAACTGGTTTGATGATTGAAAACAAGAGGAGCGTGTAGAATCAAAATTGTCTTTCATGCAAATCTGGCAAGGAGCCAGAAATGTTGTAATTTTACATCTATGTAAAACAGAGAATAATCATTCCTTTGTATGTTCTAAGTGTTACAGGGCCAAAACCAGTTTCTTTGGGAGTATCGGGGTTTTTTTTACACAGATCATCATTGCTACTCATTGCATGAGTTGGCAGAGCTGCGTTGAGGATGTTACGTGATCTAGTTAAGGCCCTGCCGTTGTTGGCAGTCTGACACTGGAATTGACCAAGTTCTGAAATTTCAGATCCTAATCATTAGTCTTGTAAAATCAGTGTAAGTCTAGGTTAGCTTAGTGGAAATGAGAAATACTTTGAGCGCAGTCATCCTGTATCAATAATTTGACTTCTGCGACCTTCTACGTTTGGATTCTGTTGCTGATGATAAAATTGTCTATCTCAGACTGTAGTTTACTGTTCTTTACTGAATGGATCAAAGCTGGATGTCAAACCGGTAAGTTTACCAATACCATCTATGTAGTTGTATCGACATGAAGGTGCATTCCGAATTTTAGGGTATCGGCTTAAATCACTAATGAAAGTAGGCTTGACTGAAGATGTCAACCTGTGCACATCTGTGATGGAAGCAAACATGCATTTCTGCTGACTTTACAAATGGTCATTTCTGACAGGAACTGCAAAAACTTCTAGAGTGCTCTTCTGAAGAGTTGATCACTGGATTGTAGTGTTACCTATATCTGTTCACAGTATCCCCTATTATGTTAGAAATCAAACTAGCATTAGCAGTGGTTATCTGTCATAAACTTAATCATGTGCCTTTGCATTATTAATTATGACTTGTTATGATGCAGCTTGTTGCAATATAATTACTTTGTTTAAATACATTTTTCTTACTGCACTGAATATATAATACCTTACGATGTAGTATGTGTGCTTTGAATGAGAACTAGCATGGCCCAAAGCATGTAGTGTAGATAAACATACAATACTCACTAAGAAACTGGAAGTGCTTTTCGAAAGTTTGAGCATGAAAGAAAGTGTGTGGCATGGCAGTTTTCTTATATGGATTTTCCAGGTGCTTTTATGTAGCATTTTTGTGCTTTGAACATTTGCTCTTAAAGGAAGTACCTTTTCAGTTCTGTGAGTGGTGGTGGTTTGCCTTTTTTTTTTTTTTGCGGGGAGAGGGGGGCAGTTGCTTAGATACATGGTTTCAGAGTTATTTGAGATGCATTGGTGGTATAATGTGATCTTGAAATGGCAGGAGAATGTTTGGTTAAAAGCAGGGTTTTCCATCAGAAACATAATGTAAAACCTCTATGCAGACAAAATACAGCAAGTGTTGCTTTTTTACAAGTGCAAAACTTCCCTGCTCATAGGAAAATAGTATTTGTATAGCATATACAAAATGTATATTCTGAAAGTCTATCTTAAAAGTTTCATCACACTGTGAAAATATCCCGTTTCTGGCCTAACACTGATTTCCTCTGTTTACTTCAAAGCATGTCATCTGTATGTTCAACCTTTCTGATGTTGCTTTAAGTTGTTTCTCTTCATTCTGTTTTGTCCTTTTCTCAAAGCCGTGTAAGTCTGGGTTAAACAAAAACAGACAGGTACAGCCACTTTCTGTGAATTATCATCCACTTATTTCAGAGTCATTTCAGAAGCTATCATACTGGCGCTTCATGCTGGGCTGTCTGTAAACTAATGCTCATTACTAGCCTTGAGGTTTGTTTTGACAAGCTGCTTTTAGCTTTTGCATGGCAAATACTTTTCAGACTAATGTTCTCTAAGCATCTCTAACAAAACCACTAAGGCTGAAAAATGTGTCGGTTTAAGTACAGTTTTAATTCACTTACATGATGACAGTATCCCTAAAGCTATTACATTACTTATTCTTCAGAGACTGCTTTTTATAAAGAATGATTTGGATTAATGTGCATCTATTTCAAACAGTTCACACTTTAACAAAAATAGTCTAAATATTTTAGCGCTGTTCTGTATCTTTTTATACACAGAAAGAGAGTTTCTAAACTAACTCTTAATGCATGCAGAAAGAATGCCTTGTTCTTGATAAAAAAATATTTTGATCTGAAGGAGACCTGTTAAATTAGAAGTGTTTAAAACTTTTCTTCATTTACTTGTAGATGTATGATAGATAACGCATTTAATAAATTCAGAGAACATAATACCTTCTCTTTATTGGTGTATTACCTAACTCATACCAATAGTAAATAGTGTGTTTATGGGGAAATAATAGACAAATCTGGTATTCTGAAGAAAAACTCAAAGTAATTTTTTAAAGAGGAAAAACAGAGATGTATATAAAGAAGTATATTATAAATAGTTTGTGGATGAAACTTCTTCCTGTCCTCTTCATCAGTTTGATGATTGGCTTACACCCTTAACATGATAAAGATTTTAGCTATGCTAAGAATCAAACTAGATTAAGACCTAAATTTCCTCCTTTAGATGCCTAATATGATAACTCATTAAGTATTGTAGGCACCTAATTAGGTGAATCTGAAAAGTAACTGTCTTGTCCTCAGAAGGAATACCAAGCTCCTAAGTTAGGTGCCTAGACTGTAGTGGAAGTATAACACTTAATTTTTATGTAATAATTTAGGTAGACTACCTACGTGGAAAATGGGGTATATCTGTTGTTTGTTTAGTGTCCAGTTGACATCACATTTAAAAAAAAAAAAAAAAAAAA